AGCAATGTTTTTCGAAGTTATACAAAGTCAATAAACACAATGCAACAACTGCACCAACGAATAACATTAATAATTTTAATGCATCGACCGCACCACTTCCAATACCCTTTTGTTTAATACAGGGTGTTCTGCGACTGTCACTTATACATTTACTTACTTACCGGAGTCATTATGATTAACAAGCAAAAAGGTTTTCGCCCTAAGGCGAGAAACTTTAGTGCATTTTTATTCATTGATCAGTACTTCCCACGGTATAATAAAAAGTATTCACCAAAAAGTCATAGTTATGGGCGCTGTTTAAATGTCCCCATAAATAAGAAACCTGGTATTGCGCAATCTGATTTTTAAAATATGCGATATGTTTGCCTTTACTTGAAGCGTCTCTGGTTAAAGTTTCATATCTCCATAAATAAGACAGCTGCCCATGCGCACACCTGCTGTTTATAATATGCGATGTGTTTGCCTTTACTAAAAACATCTGTGGTTAAAATTTCAAAATTATCTCTCAATAACAAATTAATAAAGATGACATTACGCAGTATGCGTACATTAATCGTCAAGATTTGTCTTGACTCAGGTGCCGTAATTAAATTGGTGCAAACATCGTTCTCTCACATAAACAACTAATAACAAATTTTATGCGCATATGCGATTTTGCCCTTTTATGTTTAACAATACGTGTACCAAATTTGGTTCCAATTGATTCAGCCGTTTAGCCGGAAATGAGAGTACAGCCAGATAGACCGATTGACATCATCGAGATTTTGTTTGATATTTTGTTTTGTATTTCCGTCAAAAAAGTTATGGGGTCATTGTTCACCCCAGTGCAATACTCGCCTTACTAACGTGCGGGTGGTAAAAATGGGATTTCAGATGGAAAATTTATTATGTGGGTTCGACGCCAGGCATATGTCAACGTTTCAAGTTTCAATTGCAATAGAATAGCAACCACATGTACTCTACGTCTATGGTTTCCAAGTGGGCCGATCCTATAAGGAGGTAGATAGGTATAAAATGAATCTTTTCAAATTGATTTGGATATAGAGGTTGGACAACTTTTCGCACTAGTTAAGCTTATATTCGCTTTCCCAAAACGTACGTTGGCTCAACCAAAACACACCGGATTTGGCATAAGAACCTGAGATTTGAGAATTAAAAAATGTACCGATAACGTTGAGAAACTTGGTAGATCAAAGGTTTAGGGATCATTAGAATTGAAAATAATTTGTGTACTTGTGTGTGAAAATTGCGTACTGAACCATCACTTCTCGGATTAAGCACGAGTGGCTTGATTCGTTCTGATTACAATTTACCAACATCACGAACCAAGGAAACCGTCGATCTTCGACGCATGTAGCAATTAAAGTCGTCGTCCGACAAAAACAAAATTTAAATAAAATCCTGAGATCACCGTCATAAATTATGATTAAAAGCCGTTACCCGAATGCATTCCAAAATCGAACTGGATTTATTTTTTTTTGTCCGCCGACAGTTTTCTCTATCATTGTAATTAATTTTTTCTACGTTACAGCGTTCCTTCACACTTTCTATATCTTTTTACGATTTTACCGAAACGAATAAGTGAGTGTATTTAGTGGTCATATTTGTTTACTTTATAGTACCTTGAAGAGTTACCTTTTGATTTCTGATGCGTAAAAAATTTAAACAATGGGATAGAATAAATTTAGTAGGCTGATTTCTTGGTCGATAATGATTTGCATTTAAGAAATTATGCAACATCTGCTGCAATGAAGATTAAATTGTAATTTATTAGCATGTTGCGTCATTGCATACACGCGGTACGTGTAGAGAAATTGTTAGGTGATCGAGCACTCAACAATAGTCATATAAATTTTTCCCTTAAAAGGTGGCTTTTAGCAACTCCAAAATGTTTCACCTACGCTAACGACCAACAAATCTACAGAAAAATAAGAGAGAGTTTTATCATCGTACTGAACTCACGAAGAAATGTCCGAAATATCGAGCTTTAACAACAGGAACAAATTTATTATAGGGACTGTCAGAAAAGGAAGTGACAGCCTGTGCCAGCCACGTCCTTCAAATTCTATCGCTTTTGGTTCCAAATCTTTTTTTTTATCGTCACTTCAGCTGAACTCAAAAATCAATCGTCGAAGCTACTCTTCTGGAATGCAGGTTCCAAAACCTTTTTTCAAGAAATGATTTCCTTGGTGATTTTTATTGGATCATTTGTACAATCATCAATTGGCAATGATCTGCATCATCATCTACCGGTATTTCTGAGAGAAATAGTCATATTGGTGACATGGGATGGCACTAAACTTTGCTATTGTGAATTTCTGCGTGCGTTATACTAGGGTATACTTCTACGCACAATACAATGGTATTGCTATTATTATATATATTATTATATAGGCTGGTGGCTATTCGCTAAAATCGATCTCGTCTTCTGTATCGTAATTCGTAAGAGTAATTCTTGCAACCCTTTTTTCAAGAAATGATTTCCACCCGAAACAAAATTGCAGAATAAAGAATTAGAAACGATAGATGGTTTACCGAACAATCCAAGCAAGAGAAAAACTGAATTACAGCTTTAAAATAAGCCAAGAAACGAAAAAGTCTTGTAATATAATAACAGTCTTAAGAATGCAAATAAAAAATCTTAGCAAATTATGCATAAGTAGGTACAATTATATGGAGATTATTGGAGATATCGCTGCATAATTAATGATATACGTTGAAGTGCAATATTCTGCATGCAAGGCAATTGATATTGAATAAATATCCATCTTTAATATCAGTTTCTACTGTCTTTCACTTTTTTTATTTACATTCATATTTTAGGTGTGTATAATTTATAAATATCGAGGAGCCAAAGAGCCTACGATTATTTCACCATTGTAAAGAAGTGTTTGGTGCAGTGATAAAACTGCATACTAACGTACTGGCCCGTTCCGATTCTGCATTTTAATTATCACTTTAGAAGCTTCCCCCTCGATTACCTTATGATACAGATAATCAGGGTAGGTAACAGGTTTTTCACCTTCGGTAACGAGAATAGGTTTAGGAATTTTTTAATAAACATACGTTGCAATTTGTTTTGGTCACAATTGTTAGTTTTGGTATAAAGTCAAAATAGTGAATCGCGATTACTCATCCGTCCATTTTGTGCACGTGGTAATAATTGGCCACTCTGAAGTGCACTTAATTTAAATCAATGTCATCTTCAAACAGTAATGAGGGAGAGCTTCAGGCAATTTAATTGTAATAGCCAAGGTTGATGCGACGATATTTGTATTATTACTGTCTGCTTAATGTGTCCTAATTTGCAATTATAATCAAAATATTTCAGAGAGGTACCAGACATGGGCCACGATTAGTATAAAAATGTTCCTCCGTCCCGCAAAATGGCCACTTAATGATCAATTCAATGTTTACAGGGGCAGTTCGATAAGCTATTTTGATTCTAAGCAGTAATGACAATCTACGTTATTCACAATAACTATGGCCGCATCAATAGTTGGACTTGCACTAAAGGTGTAAATTACCTTATTCTCATTCCGACATTTCGCTTCTTGAGGATTTCAATGCCAAGACCATTTCGAAATAACATACTTAGTTCGCGGGGAATTTGCATTCGGGTGACCTACAAAAAGTATTGTTATGTAAACAATGCCATGTAGATTGTAGACGTTATTACGATCTTTTGAACACCCTGTATATGACAATATTTCAATTTTATTAGGTGTAAATCTAGGAGATTATTTACGAATAAGCACAACGTTGGTTTATTGTATTTGAATTTGTGTCTCAGTGTGGTTTTTCCATTTTGAAGTTTTGTAATTCCGTACTTCATGTTTAAATTTTATCGCTTTTGCAAATTGTTTTTGTGTATTTAATTGTAAAACGTGAAATGTAGGGGCGTTTGCGATAAGAAGCTTTTAATTGGACGAAATTTAATTAATGCATTTGGTCTTTTACCAAGGTGTGCGCGTAATTTCGGTGTAAGTGGGGACGCGTTTTTTCAAAGTTGACGTTACCAAGTCTAATTGTGATTGGCAATTGATTTGATAAATCCTGAAGAAGGAGTTGATCTTATAGTGGAAGTAGTGTTTCCTTAAATACTCGAATCAACGTAAAAAGCGTAAGTAAAAGTTTTTAAAACTGTTTGTCAGTTTTCAGAAAAAGTTAGTTCGAGTGTTAGTAAACAAAGTAGTTGCCTGATTAGACAAAGCTAAAAGTTTCAACTGTTCGAGCAGCCCGTCCAAAATTTTTCATCTTGTTTACCAAGCCAGTTTGAGCCATCAGGTTCAGTTTAATAAAGAAAAGGTAAAGTTTCCTGAAGCTGACATCGATAAGTGCAAACCTTTCATGACCAAATTATATGGATTATAAGAAAAAAAGATTTTTATTTTTAATCATCGACAGCCTGCGTGCGAGGAATTATGTCCAAACAAGTTTTGTAAGATTGTCTTTTTTGCAGGAATTTTGTATTAATTGTTTCGTGTGTTTCAGAATAATTTTTTTTATTGTCAATCAATTAATTGTGTGTGTACTCGAATCCCTTGTGCGACCCAGATGGAGTCTTCAGTGTCAGATTTTTCTAATAAAATTTTTGGAAAAATTGTCGGAAGTTGACCTATAGTAAAGACTTGAAGGTAAAGAGACAAAATCACTATACAGCAAGTACAAATAAGAAAAATCGGACAATTATAATTTATAGGTATTAAAGTGACATTTGAGAAAATGGAGGTGAAAAGGACCTCTACCACCCCTGGTTTAAAACCAAACTAGAACGAGTCTCTCGATACAATTATGAATTGAGCAACATTGTTTTACGGTTAAGTTAACGTTTAGTAATCGAAAGAGTATGAGAACACGGAATAAAATATATCGCTTTACAGTAACCGATACTCTTACTTAATAACATTTATATTGGCAAAGAAAGTAAAACTTAGATATTATGCAATTACATTCCAGATCGATTATGTGAAATAATGGAGATTTTAAGTATACATTACCTTGCATCTTCCTTTTCATTTTGGTGTGGCATGGAATTGCGAGGCCTCTGTAACAAAAACGCATCCACATTAATTATTTAACGTATATTATCCTAGAATCGGTAGGAATGTGTATGCTAATGCAGAATTTACTAAAAGTAAAAGCATAAAAGTAAGGGAACTGGTTTATAAACTTCTTTCACTTTCTTAATGATTACTCTACATACGCAACTTGTATATGTCGGAAGTTACTCCCTAATATGGTAAGGCCATAAGTATTGGAACAATTAGTGGTAAAAGTAGGTCTCCAAAAAACGTATCGAGTTTATATCTGAGGACAATTACAAAATCAAGATATACACATGGATGTAATAAGACAATCACTATTTCGAAATCGCTCTCAGCCACAACATTGTACAAAAAGTACGATTACCTGATCGAAAATTCGTCACCATTTGACCCTGCCACCGAAAAAAAAAGTTTAATTTATCGCTTCTTTAGTATCCTTTCCAATATTCAAGGCCGTCAACAGCTGCAGTTAAATTATGGCGTATCCGCAAATCTGTATGGTTACGTGGCCCAAATTGTCAATTTTTGTTCTCCTAATCTCGGTCATATGTGAGTGTAATAATTAAACAGTAACTGTATCACCCACACCGACGGAATGTTAAGTAACCATTATCTAAAATTATTGGCACAATAATTTCGCGTCAGGCTCCGATACAATTACCTAAGGTGACCGTTCCAGTTTGGGATAATGACCTTTAAATTTTCACAGTAGATGTTTTCCCTTAAAAATACGTGTTTCTAATTTCAATTCGATCAGACTTTCACCTCCTTCACTTCATTTCACTTTAATTGTAATTTTTATTAAATTGCGTGATTTTACTTACGCGGATTGTGTTATGTTAATGAGAGGAATTTGAATTACACACATACGTTCGCGTGTAACGTGTAATTAAGTATTGCAGTTCATTTCACTACTTGAAGTTTTAATTGGTAGCTTCCGCCAAGGTGCGTCCAAGTTTGTGGTCCGTAATCATTCTAGACTGTTTTTTGTATCCACTTTTTTAGAACAATTTCACATGTGATGGGTATCAGTCGATATTTTCAAGGAATCGAATTGTCTTAACCCAGAACCCATGATAAATTTACACTTACCCCATTATATGAGCGGAAATTCACTTTGCTTCACTTGGTACACTACTTGATCACACCAGTCAACAGTTCAAGTGCTTGGTACAAACCATAAGGAAAATGATTGTGGAGAAGCAACATTTGTATGGATAAAAAACGGAAGTTCTTATAATTTGTCATCTACTGCACTGAGCTTATCAAGTGGAAGTTTTTCCATTGACGTCATTAAGAAATATATCGTAGGATTTTCCATCACTTTTAAATGACCAAAGACAGGACCATCACTAACGTGACGAATTAATGACCTTTCAGAGCAATGAGGATGTGGGACCAGATGTTTGTTTCGAAAATGTAAACACTACCAAAGAGTAACCAGAAGTAGTCGGTGTGGTTCAAGAGACAAGAGTTGAAGTTTCGAGATGAGCTTTTTCTCCGACACCACTTAATGAAGAATTTCTCAAATGAATAATAATTTATTTAATTAACAGTAATTAGCCCTATTCAATTTCAAGGTCGACATTGAAAAAAGGATTAAGGAAATAACACAAAACCGCATTGAACGAAATGGTGCTTTCGCGACAGAAAACGGAATGTTCAGAAAAGTTTGATACAATTCTCATACCGCGTGACCATTATTGCTGACTGATGAGCATTTTCCGGTATAAAAACACTGACACGTGATCAGCGTAATTCAGACTCAGACTTGTCTTCTAGTACACCGTTTGAAATTAAAACACAGTCTCACACCACTTAGTAAAAAGAAGATTTGCTATCTTCAGTACAGGACCAACTGTATAAGGCATTTCCTGTTGACGAAGAAACCAGAAGATAGATACCATTAACCAGAAGACCGTCAATCGTCTCTCCTACGTATCAACGAGAGAATATCATTAAACGACTGTTAAGGATATATGCTTTAAATGTTCTATATTTAGTGTAAACTGAATGACTGAATTGTTTAATACATTTTTTATATTATTTTACTAATTGACGTTTTAACATTGTCATTGTTATAATAGAGCCAGGGTGATTACATTAGGAAAACGTTCAATCACGATGTTCGCGGGGCAAATCTCCATCTACGTGGACCGATCGGTGTAGTTAGTTTTGTTGAGAAAGTTATTCAAATCTGCCTTTTTGTATTTTCCGTCTCTTTTCCTTAATCATTGACGTGCGCGTTGCTGTTCGTTTAGAGAAGGTCAAGCTCTCCCGGTGTTGTAAATTTGTAAATTTGAATACGCCTTTACTTTACTTGACCTATGTCCACCTGAAAAGGGATTTATCGGGTATTATAATATTTTCATTTTACTTTTTCTCTTTCTGGTTAGTGATTGGCTAACTTGTAACGATTTATTCTCAATTTTAGCTTTTGTTTGAGGTTTGCTCTCTTAGCGCCAGCGCGTGCAAGTCGGCAGCGGGCATAGTTTCAAATTGGTTTCTTTGGATTACCTTTTACGTTGTATCTACCTGGACATTACCTATGCCGTACGTGGATGACTGTGAATTTTTATTTGGACTCGCCATGTTATTAAGGATTTGTTTTGGCGGGTCAATTGGTAAATGAGTTTCTACATTACCGGCTGATTTCACCGCCATTCCAGTGTAATTGATCCCGGGATACCGCCTCTACCTGTAACCTTGTTACATCGGAGTTTATATCTGGAGATAGTAACTGCAAGTATCAACGAAACCCCTTTGCAGATTAACGACCCTGTAAATAGCTCCGTTATACCTGTTGTTTTTGTTGCTACCGAAGATTTTATTTTACCGAAACCGAGAACCGCTTTTGTCCACGTTACTACGAAGATTCATTTCTGTTAGTTTGTTTACATTATATCCCCCAGGATAGCTGTGTTATACGAGATATTAGCTACCGATTGCGATTCTTTGTCAATTAGTTTTTGAAGTTACCGAAACACTGTCCGAAGCTGCAAGATTTAGTTACGTTATTTGTTTTACTCCAAAGAAGCGGCTAATACTGTCTTGGTTGTTTTGATGAATTGAAATTTAGTTAGCATCGAGTACTTTTCTTGAATTTAACGTCACATGCATGCTTTTATACCACGAGATTATATGGATAATTCGTGGTCGACAAAAATTTTACTTTTGCTAGTGCAAATTCATTCGAATTATTGATTTGTATTGATTACTAATTACAGTTTTAATATCCGATTGCTTCCGTGCCAGACGTTAGCATTGCTGTTTCGCAATATTTTATGTGGCGCGCTATTCACTACTCCTCTTGTTTGTTTGTCGTGTTTTTTTCTGTTACAGAAAAGCGGAACGCGCCCTCTTGAGCTCAAAAGGTTGCCACTCCAAGTTCACTTGACGATTATAGCTCCGTTGTTTTTTGCGGAAGCCTGTTTTGACGGTAATATTTTCTCTGACTACGTGTTGATCCCATTTTGTTAAAAGTCAAGTTAAATTCAAACATTGACATCAATATATTAGCGCAACCTATTTGTAGATAGTTGAGGTTATTGATTAAATTGCAATCGATTGTGACGTCAATTATTGTATATGTTCTATCCCTATCAAGTATTTTCTTCATTTCAAGAGCAGAACAAACCTGCCTGCCTTGTTTCCCCTTTTGGAAAGTATCCTCTCCTTTCTTTTTGACATTTATTAAAGACTAAGTGGCGCCTATCCGGTTGACTATTACTACATTTCCCTTTTTTTACAAGAACCCCGATATTCTCCCCGACCCACCTCTACTTTGCCTGAGCATAGCGTGTGCTTATCTTAAGGTAATTTTGTACTATTTGTCCAAAGTGAACGTAACGACATTATTATTTAACCTCAAAGCGGAGTCAAGTGTATGAAAAATGCCGTTAACCTTTGTTGTTTGAAAACGTTTTCATTTTTGGTGTAAATGTTTGCTCAATTTACGATTATGTTTTGGTTACATGGTCTTGACCCGAAGTTTAAATTTATACATTTGGTCATTTATTTAAATATGTCGAAGTTATCGAATTGTATGATGTGACTGACTTGTTTGCAAACTAACACTTTTCGCCCTGAAGAGACAGTCACACACTGTAACCAAACTTGTTACGACATCTAAGGCTGTGGAATTCTTGCACTAGTTTCAAAGTGACCCGTCCCAGTGACGAGACCCTGCTAATAAAAACTCTTCGGTTTACAATCTGTGTGCTATATGAGTTGCAATTCACTAATTTCCACATTTCTGCTTGTTGACATAGAATTTGCCATCCAAAGCCATGTAATTTTTGCTTATAACAAAAGGATTTTATTGTACAAAAGATGAGTCACCTGTTGTACAGATATTTTGTTTTGTTATCTGCGTGTACCCCAACCACTTCTTGCGTCCGAAAACTCTGTCCACCTAGAAGACGAATTAATGTTTTAGAATTTCGGCCCGTTAAGTAATTATTAGCAGGTTTTTGTTTCCTATGGTAATTTAAAAGGAGCCGTTTTTTGTTTTACATTAAGTTTACGGCACCGCATCTACAGCTTTTGCTTTTTCTTGCACAGTAATTTCTATGGCTCAGTTTAATTGCAAGGTAAACTTTCTGCTACTTTCCGTTTCATGAATTATAAGGGAGAGATATTGTTTCGCTTTCCTGCATTTGCTTTCCCGTAGACACCACTAATTAATTTTTGTTTTGCTGTTTTGATGCTGCTATTTGCTGAACTCGTCCAATTCCCGGAGTTACCGTTTGCTCAGATCGAGTTTATCAGAAATCAATAATCGAGTGGTCAATTCAAAAACAAGAAGTGTTAAACAATAGAAGTAGGAAATTTTTCGACGAGTAGATACTGTGACAAAATTCAAAAAACAAAATGGAAAAAAATACTGAAAAAGAAATGATTTTATATGCAGACGTGGCTAGGGATTGACAACGAAGTCTAGGTAACCCTTAAATAGCTTTAAATGAAATAATAATTCTAGATTCGTCTGCATTGCAAA